CCCCCGCCCCCCAAAGCCCCGCTGAAGCCCTGACGTACCGTGCGTGTTGTGACCCGTCTTCTGTTCCGGCATCTGACCCCTTGCTGCACCCGGAGGGTTGGGATCCTGCCCCGCCAGGACCTGCCCGAGACATTCGAGTGTGGATTTTTCAAGAGAAAACAAATTGCTGGGTTTGGTGGGGTTTTTTCCCCCCCGACGCTTAAAGCCGCCAGCCTCGTGAGTGTTGGCGTCTTCACTTTTTACGAGGAACCCAACTTGAAGCCTTGCTTAGGAAGACTGAGCGGAATGTGGATTTCACTGTTATTAGCCGGCAGAGCCGCTGATTGTTTTCGCTTTAGAGGTTGAGATGAGGAATCTCTTGTAAAAGTTCGTCCTTGAGCATGGAGAGAAAAAAACCAAAAGGCTCATTGAGTTTAAACGCTGGTTGTACTGGTAGGTGGGCATATAACAGGTTTGTAAGATGAATAAAAGCCGCTATTAAAACAAACAAGTGTGCACGTGTCAGTGTTCTCACCAACACAGCTTCAGGTGATGTTGAAGATTGTTCATAGCTGAAATAGCTGAGCACTCTCTTTTCCAGTCCCGCTGCGTATCCTTGAAAGTGGGTTGGTTTGTTGTTTTTTTTTTTGGGGGGGGGGCAGTTTTTCTGTTGCTGTTTAAAGCCTCCAAGCTCAAAATTTCTGTTTCATAGACAGATGTTGGGAAAAAAAAAAAAAACCCCAAACTTTCTTGGCAGATGTAGAACTCCCAAGTTACATGGCTAACGGACTTGTCTTCTTGCTTTCTTGAAAAATATCTACCGAGGACCAGCCCTGCGATCCCCGCTCGTAGAAATCGTCTGCGGGGAGGCGGTGTGGGTGCAGGGTGTGCTTGAGTGGCCCAAACTTGTGGCATCTTAAGTATGGACGGTCACGGGTATAGAGGGGAGGAGGGCACAGCCTGCCTGTCTCTAAAATTCGGGTGGTCAGCACGCGATACGCTTTATTCCAGAGCTAAAGTCATTTTTGTAACCTCACTTGGGGGAGACAGAGTTCAAAAGTTGCGGAAGGAATACGGGAAACTTAAGATAACGTAATTGAGTTGTCATTCGCCTTGGTGTTTGCCGCTTCCGTAGCGGGTTGCTTCAGCTGTGGGTTAGGTAGAGCTCAGTCTGTATCTCTGGGATTAACTCAACAATTTACTGCCTTTTTTAGTTGTATATTCTGAAGTTCTTTCAACAGGCTGCTGTGGGTTTGTAGTTAAATTCCAGCTTGACACGAAATTTCCTTGAGCTATCGGATTTTGTGCCTCTCTACTTGGGATAGCCTTGTGCTGCACTTCTGCCGGGGTGCTCTGCGGTTTGCTTTGTTCGCCCTCTGATCCTTTCTCCGCAACTTATTTTTAGTAGTGCTTAGCAAATGATTAAAAATTACCGCGCGGTGTTTGACTGGAGAGATTCCTTCAGTTTCTTCTGGAAATTTGTGGGCTATTTTTGGTGCTCAGCCAGCAGGAGATGAGCCGTTCGGTATTTCAGCAGTTAAGCTGAACTGCGTGAACAAGAGGATGAAACTGCAATGTGATACAGCGGAGTCCTAAAAGCTTAGCTGGGTCTCGCTCGCTGCTAATTGTAATTTAAGCTTGCAATTCAAAGGCCTAAAGCAATGTTTACCTGAGAGAAGGATGGGAAAATAAAAATCCAGTTTATGTAGGATTCTCCGTTCCAAGTTGCAGTTTTTAACTGTACGCTCGTAGTTTTCATATTCTTTTTCCCCACTCAGAACTGCATTGACAACCGGAGCCGCGCGTGGCAGTGGTGCATGTATTACGTGACCAGAAAATTGGACTTTTCAGCCTGCTCTTTTATCTTCTAAAAATGTGCTAAAAGCTAGCCGTAATAACTCTGAAGAGCTGCAAGCTTTCATTGACGGGGAAAGCAATTTGCAATCTCGCTAGCTTAAAAAATAGGTCTACCTGTGTGCTTACCTGCCCTGCATCACCCTCCCCAGCTTTCGAGAATTCGCAGCTTCATCCTCAAAAATACCTGCAAGACAGAGGGATGTAACTTCTCCAACGGACTGAGGAACACAGAGCAAAACTAAAAGCTTCAAACTTCAATTCTTTCATCTAGCTAGGTTCAAAGTCTGTATTTGTTGCCCGAAGAGAAGCCATTTGATTTCCCTGCACCAGCCCCACCAAAATATTTAATGCCCATTAACTTCAATTAGAGTAATTGGTATTAAAAAAAAACCCAAATTGGTGTCACAACATAATGATACCCAGTACACCTAGGTGACGGTAAGGTGACCTGCTAATGAATTGGGTCTTAATTCCAGTGGATTTCTGGATATTTTTTTTTTCCTTTGCTAATACTAGGGTGAATAAGGTGAGATTTTAATTTCTTTCTGCTTTAAGGTGTTCAGTTGCGCTAGAAGACCCGATATTCTCAGCGATGTTTGTCATTAGTGCAGAAACTTAAAAGAATCGCTACCAAATCTTACATTTAACTAGCTGAAGTATTGAAATTCAAATGTTTTTTGAGGTTGTAACTTCAAGTGACTCATTTAAATGAGTGTTTTGCTTCAAGCGGCCTGAAGATGCTTTCCCCTGATAACGCGCCGCTCCTGGCTGTAGCCTGGTCCGAGCAGGAGGGCTGGCAGGCAGAGTGCTGCCCGCCTCTCTGCTGTTCCCCTTCCTGGCCACGGTGCGGGCGAGCGTACGGCTCGAGCGAGCGGCCTGGATGGATCGCGAGCCGTCTACAAGTTAACTTTCAGGAGCGCTTTTTAGGGCTGGACGCATTGCATTCTTTATTCCAAAGGAAGCTGAAGCCAGGGATGGGTTTTTCATGCGTTTCCTCCTCTGCGGCTGCTTGCGTTGACGCCTGCTTGCCCCGACCTCGCTCGTCCGGAGACGTTGGAGGAGCGATGAGGTGCAGTGAGCTCACTCCGAGCACATCTGTCCATACGAAGCAATTGTGTAATACGAAATTCAGAAAGCTGCCAAACCGTCAGCTTGATTTGTTGAGAGGAGAGTGGGGCGAGAGTTGAGCAGGTCCCTTTTTGTCGGGAACCTGCAAAGCAGCTGCTGAACCGACCCTGCAGCCGCAGGTCGAGCTCGGATGGATTGCTGCCCCCCCTAAACTTCATGGATTTCTGGCCTGTGTTGGCAAAGGGCGGGGACAGCAGCTTTGAGGTCCTTCTCGGCACGTGGGACTCGTGCTTTTGGGGTCCACCGCATCTCCGGCACCAGCCGTTCATGAGTAGTGGGGAAAAAATTGGCACCTGGGGAATGCCATAGAGGTGGGCTTCGTGCTGGTCCTGGTGGGCTGGCGTGGAGGGGGGGGTGCAGAGCCGGCTGGGAGGATCCAGCGGGCTTCGAAAGCGATGCGGGGGGGGAGCAGCTGAAAGGAGGAGAAAGATGAGGGTCTGCCTTTTATTTCATGTATTAAGCAATTTCAGAAATTCACATTTTTCCTTTCACTTCGGATTTAAAAAACAAAAAACCCCGACCTTTTGGGAGGTTCAGTCTATTGGAATTGCTTGGGAAAAGGGGACGCTCCTGTAGCTTTTTCCTTTTCTGATACACGAACAGAAACTGGTGTAGCTTCACATTAGCGGAAGTAAATTGCATTGACGTTTTTAGTAAGTAGTTTTATGCCACATACGAAGTAGTAATAGTAGACATTTAAAAGAAGATTTACTTGCACTGCTGTCACATCACAGCAGGTTCAGATTGCTGTAGTTAAGGCTGTGTCAGCAGTTGTGGCTTTCTGCGGCGTAAAACTCTGCTTCTGAAGGTTTTTTGATTCATGTTTTTAGATCATACGGTGCAATATTACACATATTTAACAGGTAGATGAGTATTACTTTCATTTATGAGTGATGTGGGGTACGATTTTTTTAGTATTCTTTAAAAGCAAGTAATCTCAAGGTTTGTACGAGCCTGCTTGTTTGTCTTGAAGAAAGAACTGCTGGAGGTGCTGTGTTTTGCCTGGTGTGCGATGCGGGTGACCGAGTGCCCCCCCCAAGCAATTTCTGGGGGCGCTTCTGGGAAGAACAAGTTCAATACCGTGCTCTGATCGAATTCAGATATCCCTCCGTTATTCTAGCTTCAAATGTCTGTGCATTTATTGTCTTGAAAGTGCTGGTGCGTACCAGGCACTTCACCTTGTAAGTAATTGCTTTTAGGGTGAGATCTCGTTTAAATGTTTGAGCTCGCTTGCTCTATTTTTGGAATTGAAAGGAAGAAAGTTGCAATTTAAATGGTTTTATAATGACTGTGATTGTTTCAATTGTTATAAATCAATCGCGCTTGTTTCTTCCATGAAACCACAGCACTTGCATGCGAAAGCAGCCACCTTATTTGTGATGTTTGGAGTCATTCTTAAGTTTATTTCGTTAATACAGGTACCATTACACAGCAAAGCTGCAGCCATGGTTGGGGGGAGGCAGTGAGAAAGCTTAAAAATGAAGTGACCTAAAAGAGGTGGCCAGCATTTTTGTATCGGAGGTTTGCTCTTCTGGATCATTTAAAACACCAGCACTCGCAAAAATTTCCCCCTGTGGCTTGCTAAGACCCAAGTTCAGGATTATGTGTTTGACTACAGCGGCCGGAGCGGTTGCAGCCGAAAAGAGGCTCCCAGTTGCGCGCAGGGCCCGCAGCGTCCTCGGCTGTTGCCTGGGGGACTCTGGCGCCTGGGTCTGGTCTTGGCAGGTAACTGAAGGAGTGATTTCAACTGCAGGTAGACTCTGAACTCCGATAAACAGCACTCTGATGCTTTTTGTCCTCTTCCCCTGACCGGTTGGGATAACGGGCATCTACACAATGTTGGGTTTTAAATAGGTGTTTAACTCTTGTCAGGTTAGAAATTGGCAGGCTCGAGTTTTGCTTCAGTGCTGCTGTGAGTTTGCTCTGCAACCGTAAGCGAGTCACCGGCTTGTCCCTGAGCATCAGCTGTAAGAAATTATTTGAAAACCCTACGCTCGGTCTTTTGGGATCTCTAGCCAACGGGGATTAGGCACGTGCAGCAGCCTGACGTTGGCATTGATGCCTGGGGCACCTCTCAAGATTAAACTGAAAACGCTGGCTTTAACTTCTCAGGCAAGCGGTGGTCTGCAAGCTTTTGTCCCTGTATTGTGCTCATTTTTCGGTAATAGGAAACCGATGCCAAAATGTTCATTTGAATGTTGAAATCAAGCTTTTTTTTTTTTCTTCCCCAATTTGTATCCTTCCTCTTGCGCTTGATCTGCCTGTGACTTCCAAGTCTTGAGCAAGGCTAGCGCAGCAGGTGTTTTCAAACACGAAACTCTGCCTGTTCTTCTCTGGACCTGCACCCTGTGCTGCCCTTGCAAGGCCTCTTGGCCGCAGGTGGACTCTTTGTTTGCCCAGGGAATTTGTTCCTGGTTACCGTTGCTGCATTTTCTCAAGTCCCTTAACGAGGTTTGGACTCGCCACGCTCCCTTAAATACTAGGATATTAGGAATAGGGTGGGCATAAAACACCTTCTCAGCAGTACATGGGAAGCTGCAAGTATCTCAGCAGGTGGAAGCGCTGTCCTGTTGCATGAGCGCGTTGCTTTTCTTACCCAAACCATCACTACTGTCCACAGTCAAGAGTAAAATGAGTCTGATTAAAACAAAATCCCTTTTCCTAACCTGCCTTCGTATTTTATTTCTTGTTGGACCTTTCGTGCAGGGTGTACAGACCACTTGTGTTTACAGAGGTGAACCAGTATTTCCATTTGAAGTGTAGGAATTAAGGTGGCTTCCTAATAGAACCAGGAGCGAACCCAGGGCTCCTCAAAAATCAGGACAAATCCTAATCCGTGGAACATATGTACTGCAATACCTGTCAAATGCCATTTCAGCCTCACTGCTGTTGAGCAAATTTATTGAATAAAGCAGCGTAGCACCATATTTAGTGGGTTTGTGGGGGCAATGCTCATGGCCTTGAACCCTTAGGCGGCCTTCAGGAGGTTGCAACCGATGTTCATCTGAAGGACGGGACGTGGAGAGGCACGGTCTTGGGGCTCTGCAGAAACCTGCTGTGGGATACGAGTTGGTTTTGAGCACAGATACCTCGGGTTCAGTTCCTTCCGAGTGATTCTTTTTCTCTCCCTCTCTCTAGGTATGGCTTTGTTGAGTTCGATGATCTGCGAGATGCAGATGATGCTGTTTATGAGCTAAATGGTAAAGATCTTTGTGGGGAGAGAGTGATCGTTGAGCATGCCAGAGGCCCCCGTCGTGACAGCAGTTACGGTTCTGGACGCAGTAAGCACTAACATGCATTTGTATCCGTGACTTATTTTAAATAAAACATTTCTTGCTCTTTTTTTTTTTTAAAAGTAATTTTAAAAGAAAATGATATGAAGTTGTGAATAGTGTTCTGTAACTGTAAATGTAACTGTTGATCTGAATATTTATTAACTTTGTTGTATTAAACTATTTTAACTGATAAATTAATAAACACAATTTCTTGTACCATTTTTATTATTATCTTTTCGTTTAACTATTTGAATGGTTTATTTGCAATGTGATGTTTAACATAGACTTAACAAAGACCTCAATGTTTTAATTAAAAGAGTCCTTTGAGGCTAAGATGACTGCCCGTTCCATTTGCTGACCTTGGGTTACCTTTCCATGAGTGGCTCTTTGACCTTTGTGGCCCTTGGCTGACCAAAAAAGGAAGCCATGTGACGACCGCAACCTTTTCCCATTAGACCTGGGTGGTGAGGACCCCAAGGGTTAGAGACAGATGAGATTAATCTGAAATAGGTGCCTGAAAAGCTTTATTCATGTCAGATATTCAGAAAACCTTTAAGCAATGTAAGTAACATTAGTAAACTGGCTTAATTCGGTTTCTTCTTTCAAACTGTTTTAAAAATAACTTAAATTTAATTGCATGTTAATTGTAGCGTAATTATAATTATGTGCATTGTTTTAATTATGTGCTTGTAGTAAATTTTTTTTTTTTTAATGCTTTGGATCTTTGTAACGTTTTATACAAGGGGGATCGAATTTAGACTAGCGGGTGGGTGAATTCTTAATGTCTTTGCGAACATACGGGGCAGAAAGTTTTCGTCCGGGATGTAGAGCGAGCGCTCCATTTCCCTAGTTGAAGTACTGCTGTCTGCTTGTCACCTCCTAAAGGTGGATATGGTTATAGAAGAAGCGGAAGAGATAAGTACGGTCCTCCTACCCGTACAGAATACAGATTGATTGTGGAAAATTTGTCAAGCCGCTGCAGTTGGCAAGATCTGAAGGTATGGGGCCCCTTTCTTTACCCTCTCTCTGTTAAAGAGCACAAAGGGTAAAAAAGTCAGCTTCCCTTTCAACAAGGAAAAATGGTAATACACCTGAGTTCTTGACCCCAGCTTGTTAGTAACTCCGGGTGCTCGTATGCATACAAGTAGATGTTGGAAGTAATACACGCGTTCGGTCAATATGGACGTGTACTTGCATGTGTGAAATCATTACCGCAACGCTGGGAGTTGCACCTGCGGACTTGGTGTCACTGGACAGTTGGGAGAATAACTCTTTTCCTTAACACAAACCAACATCACGTACAGACGTGTTTTGTCTTAAGCCCCGCCAAAACAGACTTTAATCATGCCAGTGGTAGGATTCACTAGAGATGGAGGAGTTTGCCCTTGTCACTTTGGATTTTACTCATCAACTTGTAAGGCGCTAGAGCTATTTGGAAACGATAGCATCGCTCTTGCACCGTCTCTGTTAAGAATTTCCACACCTTGTAAAGCTGTTTTAAAGAGAGTTTCAGGTAAAGGATGCTTCCGGAATGAGCAATCATGCAAAACCTCTGCCAAAAGCTAATATTTTCTTAAATCCAGAGGAGCGGAAGGTGATTCTCAGCAGTGGAAGTGTTGGGTAACACTGCGTAGCCCACAATACCTCCGAGTACGCTGGAGGAGAAGTGTTGACTCGTGATTATCTGCATCGTGGATGGGGGGGCAGGACAGGGAGCAGAATTTCAATAGTAGGTGCAAAAAGATAGTGTTTCCTTATCAAACTTAGCAGCAATGGTTAAAAACACTTGTTCTTACAGGAACGCTTTCTTTTATGGTTCTCTTTAAAGGATGTGTAAAATTTGTTCTAAACAAACTTTGACGTAGTAGAAACTGGTCTGTAATTGAATATGTAACACTAGTTCAGGTACGTACTGAGATTCTTCGCGTCTTTTGTTGTTAATGCTTCACACCATCAATAGCTTGTCTTTGCTTCTGGTATTAAAAATTAAGTAGAGCATGGCATGATTAATCCTCTACTGGATGCACTGCTTTTTTTTTTAATAGCTTTCATTTCAGTGTACTTAAGACGGGAGCAGCTGGGTTGAAACCAGACTGAACCGGAGTTCTGTGCCCCGTTTCCCTTGCAGCCCAAGTCCGCAGCGGCTGAAAGACGGCCCTGTCTGACGGCTTGCTCAGAGCAGGGCGGAGTGGCCCTCCCTGCTAAACAGACGAGTTTAGTAATTGAAACAGGGAAGCCAGGAAGCATGAAGTGGGAAAATGAATTGAGCCTTTACTTGTGGGGGGGTTTCTTCCAGCAGAATGAGATATGTTACCTAGGTGGAGGACGAAGGGAAGCCTGCTTGCCTGTGGTCTTCTTGCCTCTTCATATTCGGCCTTTAAGTTTATCACCTTTCCCAGGTTACCTTTAAAAACATGATTTAGAGAGCAAGCGTTTTATTTCTTTAACAGCTTTTTGTAATTTGAAACTTATCGTAGTCCAGAGCGTATTTGGTATTAGACTCGAGATGGGAGACCGTAAATTATCATTTGGCTCAAAACTATCACCACCACCTTGGTTCTAATCACACAAACTCCCTGAAACCGTAGTGTGTTATTCGGCTTGCTCGGAAACCCTGGCGTTAGCCCTGCAAATGCTGTTTGGTTAAAACCCTTGCTGACATCCGTGTGAATAGAAGAGGCTAAGTGAGCATCGTTGCAGAAATGAACGGGGTCAGCCTGGAAGCCTGACTCTGGATTCGAGGCAATGGTTATTCTGTCCTCTTCCTCTAGGATTATATGCGTCAGGCAGGGGAAGTGACATATGCAGATGCACACAAAGGAAGGAAAAATGAAGGTGTGATTGAGTTCAAATCCTATTCTGACATGAAAAGAGCCCTTGAAAAGCTGGACGGGACAGAAGTAAATGGCAGAAAGATTAGATTAGTGGAAGACAGACCTGGATCGAGACGGCGCCGCTCTTACTCCAGAAGCCGAAGCCATTCGAGGTATGTGTCTTTTATAATGTAGCTCAGGCTGACTCGAGCTGCAATTACATGAATATACAGCAGGTTCCAAAACACCTTGGAAGTGTTCAGAGCTCTCAATAAATCCCGTTTTTGAGAATGTATTAGTTACCTGCGAGTAACCAAGGGAAATGAGGCCTCTGTTCAGAGGTGTCTCCTTGGTGAATGTGTGTATCTGCCAGCTGAACACCCGACAGCACGCTACTGTTCTCCCCAACTACAGCAAGTCCGTAGTCCTTGCTGCCTTGCAGGAGAAGGCTGCGTGGCAGGTGGAGCTGTGCATACCGACTGAAACAGAAGGTGCTTTTAACACTTCGGCTCTGAACATTGTGTTCTGCTACAAGCACCAGGACTAACAGTTCTTTCTCAGCTTGGAAACCCCCACCCGTTCCCTGTTTCTTAGATACTTGCTGCTTTCGTTGTATGCTTGAGTGAATTGCTTCAGCACGCAACGCCAAGTATTTTCCCCTTTCCATTCTGGGCTAGAACTTGTTGTTGCAAGAAAACTCAGGCAAACTTCTACTGTTCATAGAACAGCTTGCTTACGAAATCAAAGCCTGAAGTCAAAGCTTCATCCTAGTGTCTCACTGTATTCAAACTCTGACTTGATTGGGAAAGTGATTCTCGCTTCCTGCTCTTAAATAAGGTCGCGTATTTTCTTCCAGATTAGCAACCCTGCTCACCTGCAGACATGGCAGCAGGGGGTGAGCAGTGGGGAGAAGGGCACTCTGTAACTGTACTGTGTAACGCTCTCACCGTTCGGCTGCTTGAAAGGTGCTTTAATACTATGGGGTTTCACCCACAGGGGACGAGGGGATCACAAGCTCTCCGTGGGCACGTGCTAACATTAAGCTGATTGATTTTGTTCCAGGTCTCGCTCTCGAAGCAGACATTCTCATAAGAGCAGGAGCCGCACTGCCAGTAGTAGTCGCTCCAAGAGTAGATCAAGATCCAGGTACGTCTTTGTGTTGGAAGAAATGGGGGCTACCCACTTAAATGAGAAGCATCATCCTAAATTTGCAGTAGGAACACTGTTTGTTTTTCTTTTCCCTACCGTATTACGCACGCTATTTAAGTGCTAGTCAAATCCAAGCCGCACTAAAGTGGAGCTGTCTGTTGCCTTTGCGCTTTCAGGTCTGTGTCCCGTTCCAGAAGCAAGAGCCGTAGTCGAAGCAAGAGCCGTAGCAGAGGCCAAAAAGAGAAAAGCAGGACTCCAAGTAAAGAGGATAAAAGTAGGAGCCGCAGCAGGAGTGCAGAGAAATCCCGAAACAAAAGTAAAGATAAATCTGAGGGCACTCTCCATAACAGCGATGAGAAAGCAAAGAGCAGGAGCCGCAGCAAGGAAAAGAGTAGGAGCAGGAGCGGGAGTAAGGACAGGGGAGAGACGAGGGAGAGCATGAGGAGTAGGAGCAAGGAGAAGAGTAGAAGCAAAGACAGGGAGAAGAGCATTAGCAAGGCTAGAAGCAGGAGCAAGAGCAGGGATGAGAGTAGGAGCAGGAGCCACAGTAAGGATAAAAGGAAAAGTAGGAAGAGAAGCAGGGATGACAGCAGAAGTAGAAGCAGGAGCCGCAGCAAGAGTGAGAAAAGCAAGAGGCGCAGCAAGCGAGACAGCAAACCAAGTAGCAAGAAGAAAAGGAAGGACAGCCGCGAGCGGTCCAGGTCAGCCTCCAAAGAAAAGGAGCATCTAAAATCAGATTCTGACAAGAAGGAGGCAAAAGGTGAGGGTGAGGATGCAGCCGCACGGCGGGTGTCTCGCTCCAGGTCTAGGTCGATTTCCAAGTCAAAACCAAATGTCAAATCAGATTCTCGTTCCAGGTCTAAATCTGTTTCAAAGCCTAGGTCCCGGTCCAAGTCTAGGTCTAGGTCTGCCTCTAGGTCACACTCCCGATCACGGTCAAGGTCACGCTCCAGATCCTAACCCTGCTGCAACCACACTTGGAACGATTGGAAAAGTCTTTTGTACGTGTTTAGTAGCTGTAGCGCAAGTGATTTGAAGTAGAAAACATGTCGATGCTGTATATTTTTAACAACCCTGATGGCATGTCTGTCATTGTTCGCTGCAGTGCTCCCTCCCTGCAGCGCGCTCTGGCGCAAGGCTGTTCAGCTCATTTTCTGTCCTACAGAAAGGTTCTCTTCAAATATAACTCTTCCTAGAGCACCAAAATTGCCCTGTTTTCCAGGAAGAGCCTTGCAGAGAATGAGCACTGCACCTTGGTGGGTTTATGAGATTGCAGTGATGACTGATAGGTAGGTACGACGGCTTCACCAGTCTTTGCCCTTGAAGTGGTGCCCTTTGATGTATGCCATTTAGTGGAAGTGCTAAGTCTTAAGTTTCATACTACTTTTGTTTCATATTTTTTTGGACTTACAAAGTTGTGAATAGCACAGTCAAAAAGGGAAAAAAAAAAAAAAATAGGTACTTGCAGTAATCCATAGGGAAAAGAAGTATAGTTCCATATTCTGGTATTGTGACAATATCCTTGTTTTATATTAAATTTTTTTATTTTATTTTTCCCTGTCTTGCAAAGTACAGTGATTCCTGTTTCCATGAAATTTGAATAAAGACTATTTTTGCTTGATGACATTTGGTGGTGGTTCCATGAAGTTGTGTTGTGATTGTCACTGTTTCCTATCGATTGGTGTAAGCCTGAGTTTGCAGAAGAGTTACTCGCAGAGAATGGGTTCTCGGTTTAGAAAGCCACCTAATACTAAATGTAGTCAGGACACTGAATACAATCCAGTTAAAATAACTCATTTCTCTAGAAACACTTACCGCGGTGTTTGGAGCTTTAACATTGCAATAAGGAGAAGAATACAGGGAAATGAACCAGAAGCAGTAATGAAGGTGACAAGCCGGTTTTCCACTGTCCGTACAAACGAAACGTGGTGGTGAGCTTCAGCTTCCGTAACACGGGGAAGAAGATTTTTTCACTCACTCAACTGGCTCGACTCAAGTCAACTGAAATCATTGCTTGTCCCGCAGCATCTGACGCGTTGTACAGCTGATGCTGGAGGTGAGTGTGGCTGGCAGGGAAAGCGTGCTTTTCTGCTCCTTCCTTTATTCTTCAGGTCATCAGTTCAAGTGTTTCCTCTTTCACAGCGTTGGCCTTTCCTACGGTGCCTTTGGGAAATGAAGGGGAAAGCAGCACGACGCTTTCATAGGTGTTTTTCTAGCCTAGCACACCCAGCAGCAGAATGCGAAGCCGTCCCAGCCGTTTACTTCTGGTTCTTCTTTGATTTCGTGATCCCCGATTGCCAGTTTGGGGTTTCAGTCATAAACCGTGACTTTCTAAATTGGAAGGTGTTAGTCTGACCCAGGCGGGACGAGGACGTTACAGACTCCGATAGCATGAACCAGCCTTTGCTCTGGGCACTGTGCAGCAGCCGGTGGTGGCCTTAACGTCCCCCAAAAATGCGGGTGGAATTGTAGCTTGGGGATTTCCAGTCACGGATCGAAGGCTCAGTTCGTGTGCGGCCCTCTCCCGCAGGGAGCTGCTGTGCAGGAACCCTGTCTGCTCTGAATTCGCAGCGCCCAGGAGGGCTCTGCCACCTAACTGAAATTCCCTAGCGCTCGCTTTCCCAGTCCGGCTTCTCTAGTTAGACCCAGAGCAATTCGGAGTTGAGGCTGGAGCCTCAGGTTGCCTCTTCTCGGCATATTTTCCGGGAGTTTTTCTTCCTACTAAAACACCTCTGAGTGCTTCTGAGGAGCTCTGGGCTTGGAAACACTGGGAGTGGTGGGGGCTGCTCTGCTGGCGTGTCCCCGGCGTCCCCGTGGACGTGGGGAGGGAGGAAGGCACCTTCTAGCAGGAGTTTTGTAGATGTTCCTGAAGAATATCCCGATTTTAGACTTGGGCCGCTAGCAAATTGCTCAAACTGAACTTTCCACAAGCTCTTCTGTTGCCCGGGTGGCTTTGAATGAAGAGCTGACACCCCCGGCCCCCCGCTCTGCCTGCCAGCAACGTTCTGAAAAATAAAAGGCAAAACATATTTTGTGAGTTCGTACTTGGTCTGGAAAAAAGGAGTTTAGTTACGGCTTCACCAAAAACTTTTCTTTAGCAAATTTCAAACTGCTAACAATACTTGCGACGGCAGTTCTCGCAGCTGGATGTTAACTTCATAGGTGCAAGTAATTTGATCATTTGAAACTTGAACTACCGTATTAAAAAGATGAAAGGGCGATAGATCCTAAGAGTCGCTTTCAACACAAAATATTTCCGTTGGGTTTAAGGGGGGTCAGGGCTTGGTGAGTGGCTCAGACTTTATCAAATGTCATATTAATACAGCAGCATGAGGAAAGCTCTGCGGAAGCGATATTTAATTCCTTTAGAAGGAAAAGCCTTTTTCAGCTATACACATTTAGTGCTTTAACATCTTAGGCTCACATAATAACATTTCTAATCCCTTTTGCTGCTTAATCTTAGTACAGAAGCAAACCAGGCTAGGCAAGGTGTTTGCTAATAGGGGATAATTAGCCAAAAAATACCTTTAAGAAAATCTGCAAATGATAAAGTCTAGGCTAAGACTTTAAAAAGCGACTCTGGCTTTTGCTGTCTGGCTGCCAAGGCCGCTCCTAATGAAGTGAGCGTGGTTTTAGTGAGCCCTCTGGGAGAAACATTTCTTCCCTAAATACCCGAAGACAGGCCTTTGGAGATGGAGGTACGCGGAAAACTTTTGGCTGAGGTGTAAATTTTCCTTGTGTGCAGTGAGGGATGTTCCCTGCAACGGGAAAGACAAAAGTCCTTCGAGGTTGCGTGGGTGAGCACCTCGGGCGATGCTGAAAGCAGGGAGCCAGCGCCCGCTCCGCGGGGAGGGTTCTGTGTGTGCATAGGGCGTTAGCGTGGGGTTCTGATATCGTTAATTGCCAGTTCCCTGCTTTTGTTCCTGCCGTTTTCAAAGCAGGGGATTGATTGTTGCAAACAAATTATCAAGGGGTAGAAAAAACAGGTTTTGATTTAAAAAAAAAAAAAAAAAGCCCTTTGAGAGCTGGGCAGCCCCAGGTCGGTGCCTGTTTGCCCAAGTTTGTGCTTCTCTATCAGGAGGAGTCCTTGGCTTACGCCTGTGGGGGCAGCTCTTAACAAAGTCACGTAAGTATTTAAAGATGCACCTAGAGCATCAATTCGGCAGCACTGTTCTGGATGTCAGTAAGAATTTGGTCACCGATCGGAGACAGGGTCTTCTGCAAAGGGTTCCTTACCTGCGCTCCAGGCTCCTGCTACCTCAGCAAACCTTGCTCCGAGGCTGTGATCCGGCTGGATTTGTTTTGAACACGAGTAACCCCAGTGAAGGGCTGGGACTCTTCTCATGCTTGACATGAAGCCTGTGCTTAAGCACTTGCTACAGTTCGGCTCTGCACCCTCCCGTGCTTTGGTTTACCCCTAAACGTGCCCAGATCTAAGCGGGGGCTGCAGCAGTGGAGCGACCCCAGCAGCAGCATTACCCCCAGCCCCAGGGCAAGCTGCTTTCTCAGCCTGCCGAGTCCTTTTTTTGGATGACTTGAGGTTGCCACATCTCTGGCTGCTCACATGAAGTTAGAAGCAAAGCCAGGAACCTGGCTGTGCCACCACACGCACGTGATGCAGCTACAGCTCGTGCTGGGCACCTGCTCAGAAAGGATGTGGTAGGAGCAACGGGGGGGGAGAGCGACTTCCCGAAGAGGAGATTTGATCACCTGCAACCATCAGGAAGGTGAAAAACTAAACCCTTGCACCTGCTCCGGGCTATGACCCGTCCTTGGGTGTCAAATACCCCAGTGTCTTCCTGCAGGAAGGTCCCAGTGCTGACAGCAGGACAAGCAAGTGGCTTGTTCGGGGCTGTGTCCCCATGCGTCCTGGTCTGGGGGGGAGCTGGTGATGCTCCCGTGGGGTGGACACGGTGGGGAGGTGAGAGCTGTCCCAAAATGCCCTGAGCTGCTGAGCAAAGCTCCAACGCCCTCGCCCCGCTCCCTCTGTGCATCTCGGCTGGGGCTTTCTTCCTCTGCTGTGAAGGCAGGCAGTGAAGGCAGCCTTTAGGAAGGCAAGCTTTAAAGCAGGATTTAGCACATAAAAGGGGTTGCTGCCACTGTTTACAGCAGGTACAGAAGTTTGTATTAAAAGAAGAAAAGGCATTATTTCCTCCACCTCCCGTCTCTGTGGGGTGGGCGACTCCAGCCGCCACCAAGTCCCCGTGGGTTCCCTGCAGCCTCCTTGTCCCCTGGGCCCTGGTCTGGGAATGGGCTCCTCCAAGGAAGCTGCTGTGGTCCCCATCACAGCCCAGTGTCCCCAGTTGGCAGCTGAGATGATGGTGGTCGTTGCCTCCAGCCTCTCTGCCTGTGGGTGCTGGTGGGCTCCGTGGGCTGGCCTGGGGGTCCTCAAACCTCTCCTGGTCCCTGTGTCCCCATCTTGGCTGTGATCCCAGCATCTCTGCTTCTTTTCCAAGACTGAGACCCCCTCCAAAATATCCCCGCAGGCGGCTGATGGCTGAGATGCTCCGATGCCCAGGATGCTCCAGGTCTCAACCTGAGGGCACAGCGTTGCACCCACCACCCCTCCGTCACCAACCCACCAGCACGTTTGCCCCTTCCCTGCCCCGAGAGAGCTGCGTTGGGCTGCAAAGCCCTCGAGCGCCGTGAGGTCTCGAGCCCAGGGGGCGGCACCTCCGCTCATCATGCCCAAATCCCCAGCGATCAGCATTTTAAAAAGGTGAAACAGCAGCGCTGAAAATCAAAAGCCTTTTTTCCCCACCACCCCCAGCCCAGGGGATGCTGTGGTTCACGCAGAGCTGGCCTCCGCGGGAGAAAACGGCCCCGCTGTAACCCAGGTGAGAGGAGCCGCTTTCCCAAGCATTTTGGGTGTGTTGTGCTAAATCTTTATCTGAATTTGGCAGCTTCAGGAGGTGGCATCCGGCAGGACAGCGCTGGAAGGGAACGCATCGGGAGTCTCTCGCTCTCTTTTTTCCTTTCCTAATTCCGCCCTTGCTCAACGTTTTGTCCAAGAGAAAAGGGAAACTATTTGTGGCATGCCTGGAAAGCAGAAAAAAATAGGAACACAGACGTTTCCGTGGCACCTTCTCCTTTTGCTGCATAATCCTGGGTGCCTCGGAGGGGCAGAAACGGTGTGAAGGCTCAAGCCCGCTGCCCACACAGAGCGTGCCTCAGTTTCCCTACCTGTGGGATGGAAATAATGACTCAGGTCTGTCTGCTCTGGGGTGATGGGCACCATCGCTTCCCCACCGGCCCTTTGCAGGAGCGCTGCGATGCTTTGCTACCCGGTGTAGGGAAAGACCCGGGGAAGGGCCACCGCCCCGTGAGTGTGCTCATCCTCCCCGGTGGGTACCACGATTTTCAGCCCAGGTACCTTTTTGCACCAGATGCGGGGCCGGGGGTATCGGAGCAGGAATTTCCAGGGTAAGGGCATTCTGGGGCATCTTATTCCCAATAATTAGGCTGAAGCATCGTAAGTGCCCCCCACGGCAGGGCAGCGATTGCACTGGGTCTCCGCAGCAGTGCAGGTCACCTCTGCCACCAGCACCGCAACGGGCAGTGGTGGGCACGTGCCTCAGCCAGGTCTCTGCAGCGTAATGTAACGTTCGGTTCTGTCTCACGGGTGT